AGTAGTTTTGTTTTGGTTATCGCGAGGCTATTTTTTGTTTTATCTTTTCAAACAGATTCATCGAGACACGATTTTCTTTTCAATTGACATTTGTTAATAATACGATCGACGGCATTCTTTCGAACAAACAAAATTGTCAGTGTACTTTAGAAAACAAATGAAGGCCATTGACACTGTCAAAATAAGAATTAAACAATTCATTCATTTGTTTTTTTTTCAATGAATGAATGATAATTTTAAAGATTTGACTATTTTTGTAAGTATGAGAACTCATTAGTTAAAACAAATAGAGATTTGATTTTAATTTTGATTTGCCACATTAACGCTATGGAATTGAGAAATCAAGGAAATGAACGAGAATGTAAACACTTGAGTAAATGAAGGGTTCACTCATTATTTAAAACGCCAATCTGATACCTAACGTTCATAATTAATTCTGACGTGTTTATTTTAATTGCTCTGAATGGATGTCGAAAACCGACAATTCTTAGCTGAGCGTTACAGTTTTGTCTTCAAGAGTTGATGATGAAACCTGGCTACGTATAGTCCGCCAATTGACTTTGGTAATCTTGCAAACAATAATGTAGACTTAGGCCCAGAACAGACGGTGAAACGCAACTGCAACGAAACTGCAACTGCTAGTTACTTTTGAGTTGCATCTAAGTTTCTGCCATAGCGTACGTTGAGAGACCACACATGACGCGACCGGTTTGAAACTTTCAGTTTCAGTTTCATTCATCAGAATCATCAGAAAGTTGCAGTTTCGTTGCAGTTGCGTTTCACCGTCTGTTCTGGGCCTAACATTGACACTGAATTTTTTATAGTCCTAACACCTAGTTTGAATACTAAATCTTTGTTTGAGAATTGAAGTCTGTGCGTCAGTCAATTTTGTAGGTATACAAAATTGTTTAATTAAATTGGTCCTGATTACTTTTTGCTATCAGATTTTAAGATAATATCTATCTGCATTAATATGAAGAGATAAAGTTTGCCGGAACTACCCATCCGATTTCATAAATAATTTTAGGGTTCCACATTAAACAGGAAACCTCGACCTTTAAAATTTATTTCGTTATTTTATAAAGCCTGAAAGTACTAGCTATAAAACCTTATGTTAATTTTGCCATATTTTAACTGTTCTACGGAATAAATCTACACTCTGGCTGTATTGCAAATCGCCATAGGCAAGATAACCTATTTTCATCAGAGGTTTAACTTGCTGCCGTTATTTCAACATGATGTACCTTTCAAATATAGAGTAAGAACAATACTTACGAGTAGGTTTAATAATTTTCATCATCTATTCCAGAAGCCTATTTTATATATTTACTTTTAAAGCTTTGTATTTTTTCATATTGACTTTCTTTTAACCCGTTCACCACCCAACCGGAAGTTCAATTCCGTATTTGCGACATTTCGACTTTTATTGAATTGGATTTATCGGTCCTTTCCATCGACCTTGCACTGGTACCAACACTATCAATTAAATTGATATTGCAATCAAACAAAACTCACAAGACTGTTCCTACTTGGTTTAATAACGCATTATTACAAGCTCCCTTAGCAACAGCTTATGATTGATTTGTTTAATTACATGAAGATTACAGAATTATTACAGTTCGGTAATTCAATAAAAATGCCTCCTTATTGCCACATAAACAGGTAAAATTTTAAATTGCGTTTTGTTCATTGTTGTTAAAATTCTAGTTTATTACCACTATTATTTATTTTTATTTTGTAAGATAGGACTTATTTGATAAATAATCTACTACTGTTTGGCTCCTTTTCTTCCTAGTAAAACCCACAAATACCCTCTGTATTATGGTATCGTTTTGATGAATACCTAAGTAAATATAATTCCAGTCTCTGAAAATAATATGAGGCTATTAAATGCCATTCCAGATTTGATGACATTCACATTAATTAATGAATTGTGAATTTATTCAAAGAAAAAAAAAGAAACAGAATCTAGTATCATAACATAATTGCTAAGAAACAGAATCTTATATCATAATTGCTTTATTTAGCACCTATTTAAAACGAAACCTTCGTATTGGTCTTGATATCTAAATAAATAAAGTAGGTACCTACTTCACGCAACAAACAATGTATTGATTGATTGGTTAAACCTTTAATTACATGATCATTAGTATATTTGTATCGGTTTTGAATTGCATAAGTGTTTTGTATAGCTATTATAGAACATGCATTGTATCAAATATTAGTTACAGAAGGAGGTACTCGTATTACACTTACTTAGTAATGAATACAAAACACAAAAATAAGCTTTTCTTATTACCTTATTTATTGTAGCTTCATTACTTTTGGCATTTGAACTCCAAAATCAAAAGCTCTATGATAACATAGGCATAATTTATTATATTAGAATAATAATATTAAACTTCGGTAATTTAGCATATTTTCAATTTTCTTTTCACCAACAGATATCAATTAAGTTTTACAGAGCTTATACGATTAACTGCTCTATAATACTTACTTTAATATTAATTAGGTCATACATTCGTCCTGAAGCCTTCGTTTTATCATGATTAGATACTATTCTTAATATACGATTAGTGACACAATTTCCCACTCATTTGTAAATGGTTAATGTTCTTACATTAACAGTAGCACTTGTAACATTGTTAGTACTCACCAAAATACTCCAATTTATTAAATTAATAGTTATTCTATATTTAATAGAGCAGTCATTAGCAAAACAAAAGATTGTTAAAATTCACCAAACGATGCTCCAGTCTAATTAGGTAAGTAGAGCGAAAAATTACTTGAATGTTATCCTTGAATCGAGGAACGGTAATGAGAAAATGATTATCCATTTATCATGATCTCTGGCCACCGAGGCTGCGACTGAATTTGGACCCGCATTCATATTAATCACTAATTATTTGTTCGCAAATTAGCGGTTTGAATAGAGGTCAATAGTCAATACAGATTGTTGATTTTGCCGCCCCCACACTCCTTGATTCTACGGTTGATTGCATGACGAACTAATTGCAATCGTTAAAAATTGAGGCGTGTTACGTGTGTAGGTGCAATACACAAATTATATTTGTACTTGTAAATGCATAATGAATTGCATCATTACTAGTAGACAATGAAAACACCTTATGAACTTTATTGCATTACTGAATGAAACCACCCTGTATAATATAGACGTAACTCGCTTCATTATTAAATAACCAATTGATTTTATACCTCTACTTACTTTATGAATACGAAATTAAATTCGTATCAGAAATGTGTTTGTATAATCTTAATTCCAATTTTATTGATTTTGGCTTCAATAAGGAAGCTGATTGCGAGTATAAATCATTATAATCCTTCTACGGAAGATTATTTTCTTCTTGGGTGGGCTTTGACAAGATTTTAAATTGGTTGTGTAATAAAATAACTGGAGTGGATTTATTACTGAGTATTGAAATACTAATTTGAGGTGTGAAGTTATAAATTTTAGTGGCATTTAGGCTAACAACTGGTCATTGATTCACTACAAAGGCCTCCGACGTGTTTGCACAATGTCAGTTATTCTAACAAGTTCTAGTTTATTTAAGTGCTGACATTATTTGTATTAACGAGTGTGCTTGAGAAATATCAATATGACTCATATAATTAGATGTGCATTTGTTTTCATTAAAATAAACACGTCTAATAAACTATTGAATATTTATATCTTGCATGCTAAAAGCAAAGTAGAAAGTAGAGTAGTAAGCAACATTTATGAATAATTATTTTTAATCTTTTACACTTATTTTTAAACACTTTGCCGTGAGCATTAACCCTAGTTGTTTTCTTAAACAGTTTGTAAATAAAATAAATTAATGTTTTCCTGTAAATTGACTCAAAATAATTAATCCATTATAGAATATAAATGTGTCTTGAATTATATTAGGTAAAGATAATTTCTAAAATGCTTAAAATAGTTTTAATGCTTCATTTAATGATTGGAAGATGACTGTGACATCCGATTCGAGTTTTTTTTACGTAATTATGAAAGCTGTGTCAAATTTAATTTAGTGGTAATAACATACTGCCCAACTTTCGACCGGATTAATGTATGAAAACCGATAAAATATCTTCACCTCGTCATCTTACTGTTTACTTATGTAATTTGCGGAAAATTACGGTACAAAATGATACGTTCGTGGAATGATACAATTACGCAATTGGAGGGTTAAACTATTTGGCATTTTGGATTTGATTTGCGATTTAGGTATTACTATTCAAGTCTGATGCTAATAATAGTAATTATCTATTTGATAGATCCATTCCTTGTCAGAAAGATGAATGTATGAACCGCTACAGATGTGACATGGTTCATGTGATGATCAAAATCAGTGTCAGAAATCTCTAAAGTTTGGTAGTTTACATCGTTTAAATAAGTACCGATAATGTGAAGATAATATTAGTTTTCACTATAAAATATTTGGACATTTTGAAATTAATAAACAGCTAAAACTAAGTTGTTGAACCAGTCACGCCATTCCTCTTATTTCTATACAAAATCCATAAGAATGACGTTTACAGCTCATAATAAGCTTGCCAATTATTCGATGGTGTTAACTGCTCAATTTTATGCTTCTATATTGACAACTGACCTCTACTAAGAGCTAGTCCAGATGACGCATTTTAGTAGCGCGTTTCGAATCGCGCGATATCGAGATACTAGAGGTCCATTCTGTTTAGGTACATGCAATCGCGCGTTTTGTTTATGAAAACTAGAGCAGCCCTAAGCAATCATCAATCTTACTTTTTTTTTCTTTTCTAAGTTGAACTTTTATTAGGATATACATATTATTATTCATCATTATCATCATCATCTCAACCATTCATAGGACGTCCACTGCTGAACATAGGCCTCCCCCAATGTTTTCTATGTTACCCGGTTGGTAGCGGCCTGCGTCCAGCGCTTTCCTGCTACCTTTATGATGTCGCCATATTATTATTACTAACTTACTAATATCCATTCTCTCCCCTTCCAGGTCCTGTTGTGTTCCCCCCCTCGCCCCCCGGCGACCCGTCCCAGACCAGCGGTGTGGTGGTTGGTGCATCTGGCTACGGCTTTGTGCCAGCTGGCTCACAAGGTAAACCCTATGGCCGATGACTCCGTAGTACCCTGTAGTTAGCACTAATTGTCCTATGCGATCGGTGGATGCGATGTATATAGCTAAAATTTAGATTTTTAGTCAGTTGGTTTGTCAAAATTAATTAGTCAAATTGGTTTGTCATACTAATATTTTAGGGATGTATCTGTAAAAAAATTGACGGAATTTTTAACTCCTTGACACAAAATTGTTTTGGTAATTAAAAAAAATCTTTTCAAATTAAAAAGTTAAAATTAATGGTTTTTGTATCGCTTTGACTGACCTCGTAGGGTGTCAACTTTTTCGTTCTAATGGCTTATTAATTTATTTTGATAAGTCTATTAGGACGAGTAGTATCGTAGTTGGATTCTGACTTGCCAGTTTTCTATGCTGTTCTGTTCTCTGAATATATTTGTAGGAAAAACAACCTACTGTATGTATTTATTTTATGTATTTTAAAAACAATTGGCTCTCTTTTAGCAAAATTTGTATTACCTTTTATTGTTATATGAATGTTACAAATGTTATGAAATCATATAGATTTTTGTTAACAGAACAGAATGGCATATGAAGTAATTAATTTATTTTAAGTAGAAAGCTTTAAGCATGAACTTTTGCATGTACCCTTTCGTAGATTAGTCCCTGGAACTGGTCTTATAGAACATAATTAATACACCTCCGTAATAATAAATTGATCGAGCTTTTTCTTAGAAAAAGTTAACTTTTCCCAGTTTTTTTAGATACCTTTTTGTTATTCTGTTTATTTAATGCTCTCTGTTTTTTATTCTTGTTTTGAGAAAGTCCAACGTCAGTAGCATATTGAGGTCCGAGTTTTAACTGTCAGATAACTTTTATTTGAAAAGTAAAATGATTTATTGATATTTTCTATTTAGAATCTGTCAATATGTCAAATACTCTGCAGATAAAATTTTAAGATTAGCGATTGGAAAATCGGCCCTCAATCGCAGCTGACGTTGACAGCTCGATTAATTTATATTATACAATGTTGTAGTTAGTAGATTAACAATTTTTCGTTTTATACACCTCGAAACCAGGGCTTCAAAATTGTATAAAAGACATTGCATTGTATACAGTTGACTGTTATGTTATGAATGAGCTGTACATAGAGCTGGTGTATTTATACTTAATTTAAATAAATCTAAACAATTTTCGTATGTTTTATTGACTCCTCTAAGTTAAGTTGCACTGGTAACACTTTATATTATGCATGCTGCACACCGTGCTTCTCGGAAAAGAACATAACACCTGGAACATAACGATTAGTGTAAAAAGTATATACATAAGTGCACCTACATAATTTGCAACTACCTATATTTTAACCTAACCTCCCAATCAACCTAGGTACTGACAGTTAAGTCCCAATAATTAATCCTTTTTGCAATTTAATGAGTTAATTCTAAATGCATGCCATAAGCAGCATAGAACAGAAAATTTAGAAGCATCAAGAAATAAAGATCAAAATTACCAACATAGCAAAAGGGCAAAAGAAATGTAAGGGATTAAAACTACCCATTTTGACTCAATAGACTTTGTTCTTATAAGAATATAATATTAAAATTTTCTAAAATTAAACTTAACAAACGATAATTTAACAATATGAGTCAATTTCCAACACAATGAAACATACATATTTTGCGACGTTACGTTTATGAACTTTTTCCAGCTGTCGCTTCAACCGCTGCGATTCCTCTGTCAAAATCTATTAGCTGGACCCAATAAAAACCCAACTAGTGAATGCCACAAAGTTTGCGCGCACGTTTTCGTATAAAAAATAACAATAAATTACAACAACAAAGCAAATGATTTTAGTGACCCTGTAATTGAAATTGACGGCAGTGACAAACAATAACGATACACGAACTGATTGTAGCTGTCGTAACTGCTACTTGTCACCAGTGCACAGTGGACAGTGATGGACCTTAACTGGCCGTGACTTAAGAAATGATATAAAATGTGTGACCAAGATGTGGCAGTTTATGCCCGTTTTCACCATCAATCCCTAAGTTTTAAGTGACCCCTATGAAAAAAAAATCCTGTTATGGGTTACTATAGGGGTCCTTAAAAATTAGGGATTGATGGTGAAAACGTGCTTAAGAATCTTAACATCAAAAAGATACGAGTATGTAGTATGCAGTTAGGGGGCTCATCACTTAGCGTTACTTAACTCTATCTTACATCTTGTCTTTTGTTCCCTACCAGAGCTTCGATCAGCGACGAATCAACCTTCAAATTGATCGCTAAACCATCAATTACAGTCATTAATTAATGAAACTAAGGTCTCCAGTAATTGTTCTGCACATCTACGCAATGCAAAGAATGGTGCTCCACATAGGAAATCACCTTAGGTGTTGATTTAAATGGTTGATAACTCATGACGTATCGAGGCCGAAAGTGGTGTAATTATAATATTCAATCAGTTCGTAACTATGTTTAAATATTTAATGCATGCGGCTACTGATGTTATCAGGTAAAGCTATTTCAGTGTTGATTTTCAAGGAATATTCATGAAGAGAAAGTAAATTTAGGGTTTATTTGCTTGGAAAAACGTGGAACAGTGTCGTTACGCCCTTATTTGTTAAACTAGTTCGTTAGGTAGTAGAAACCATTAAGAAAATATGAACTTTTGTGACACAAAAAAACGCTTAATAATTCAGTCAAATTTCATCAATAGCTTTCTTAAGCTAAGCTGTAGATCATTGGCTATCTAATAATAATATATCTGACCCTTGACCACAGTCGAGGGTATTTTGACAGTTCAATTAATAAAAGTCGCCACGTCATTCAAATTTAAAGGAAGTCACGCCTCCAAACACAAAGACTGAGTCGTGATTAACACACAAATACTGAAAGAAATTGGTCCTTTTAAATAACTGTGTTAGCCACAGCCCAAAGAGAACGGTCTTAATATAAAACGAAGGCTGGGAGGATGTTTTTGTTTGTAAATAGAAATGATTAAATCAAATATATAAATGTGGCATACGTCCCAAACAAAAGAATAAGGCGTGCTATTAATCTGCCAATTAAATTCCACCAAAAACATTTTCATTTAAAATGTTGCCAAGACGAGACCATAATATGGTTCGTATCACAAAAAAGTTATTAGATCTCATGTAGAGCTAAAGCTTCTAACTCTAATCGTTCCAAATTCACAAACTCTAACCTTAGTGAAAAAATGTGGCATGATCATAAAACAACCTATAAGCGATTTTTGTTAACGCGCTGTGCTCCTGTTCGAAAATATGAAGCACCTGTGAGATTTTTCTCAATACGCTGCAGTAGCAGTTGTTCAAATTGGACTGGCTTTTCTCTTTTGTCATTGGCCACAGGGAAATGTTGATCCGGCAGCATGAAGGCCATTCCTTCATTCAAACCGGAACAGTTCTGACTAAACCACCTCAGGCTGGTCCAGGACAAAAGGAAAGGCATTTCGGTGAAGGTGTCTGTTCTGTTCATTACCAAAAGGATGTGGCTACTGGAGTTTTGCGTAATGTGTCATGATGATTGATCTTTTAGTTTAAACAATAAGCTGTAATGTATCCGTCTTAAAATATAAACAATAATTAAAGCAATGACTAATGAAGCCTAGAGTTGGTTGAATGAAGTTTCCTGACTGAACTCATTATGAATATTGATAACCGATATTATGTCGTACGGTAGTTATTATTTTGAGATAGGCAGTAACTTAAAAAGATTAAGCCAGAAACTCCTCCTCTTTTTTGTTAGTGGTTAAAATATATATTTCTTGCCAGGTAGGCACATTTTATTTGCTTTTATCCGCCTTTAACGGACTCTACTAGTGGATCCAGACTCCAAAAAATGTTGTGGGAATATCAATATCTCTCTCATACAAAATTACTAGTCAGGTAACAATAAAAATCCCAACTCAATATATCGTAAAAGTTCCAGATGCTCGATTTAATAATAAAAACAAGATTCTAAAAAAAAATCGTAGTATTACTTTTTTGGAAACGTGCTGTCACACTGAAAGGTTCGCGTGATCCCAGACCATCAACTAATTGACAATTGTCTGAACTACGTGAGACACAAAGGTTGTAGGAAGACTGCGCGTGAAGTGACAAGACAACTATTGAATAATGTAGAGATTGGTACAGAATTGGCTAGTATTGTTATAGAAAATTTGGTGTACCTTTGTAGTTGGTCACGATTTAATCAAACCGTATGGTGCGGTACGTTTCATACCATTACATCTCTCCATGATCATACTTATTTGTGAAATAGATCATTGGTTTTTTTTGTTGCCGATGTAAGCCATTAAGTAAACATATTAATTACCTGACTGCGCCAGAAGGAGGGTTATGTTTTTCGAGTGTATGTGTTTTTCATTTGTCTCCCGCTTCGCAACGGAGGGAAGTGGATAGATACTGTACTTGGAACTCCTAATACTTGGTTCAGTGGCAGTGGGCCTCAAAAGATGTTCAGGTGTATATTGTAGAGATAATTATTCTAGAATTGACTATCAAAATTAGATTTTCATTTCGGCTATTTACCTTCTAAAGGATAACTATTTAAGGATAAGGAACGATGATCATGAATTAAACATTCATATTTAATTTTAATGATTAATACTTAAATGTATTACAGTCTTTTGCATAATAACCATTAGAAAACTGTTGCACATCGGTAAATATATGGCAAAATAATCAAAGTGTGGAATTTCCGGTAAAGTTTGTCCCACCCAGTTTAAGTGCTAGTACCTACATGAAATTAAAATAATTGTGTTTAATGAACGTAGTCATAAACGCAATCATAAATATAATATTTCAATATTAAACTAAAACATAACTAAATAATATTGCTTAACATGAGCTAGGTTACATACCTGTACAAACGCACACATAGAGCTTTGAGCCGCGTAAATTCAAACACAAAATCATTAACAATTACTCCGAAGAAAATCCAATTATTCATAGCGAACCTTTTTAATTGTGCCCAGTGAAATTTCTCCATGACTTCATTTA